ATCTGCCTGGTAGGTATTATTGTGATGACTATATTCACCAATTTGATTAGACAAAGCCCGAATCTATTGGTCATGTGTTTCCCTTATCTGCTATATAGCCATTTCCATTTCAAATTTAAAATTCTCTCTTTGCTTGGTCAGAGCGTCTTCGAGGATTTTGGCCATTTGTTCAGTGTTGATCATGAACACCTCACGAGATTGTCTTGTGCTAGACATCGTATTGTCAGAAGCGACTGTAGAGTTGACATCTGATGCTTCATCATCCGAGGATAATCCTTTATTCATCCTATGATAGTCCCTACGTCTAGTAGTCCCCGCGCGTAGCCAAGTTAGATGATGTGATATGAGGGGGTCAAAACTAGAAGGTCGAATCGACTTTCCCCTATCAGCCATGTTAATTGTGACTTCTGGAAGTTCGTTATCTTGAACGACAGAACGTTTCTTGCGGAAGCACCTTGGCTTGGTTTTTAACACTTTAGAAGAAAGCTTTTGGGATACTGAGACTCTCTGTAGAGCGGTCTTAGGGTATCTACACGCTGATAATACTGCCCTGATAAGTTTGGTACATGGGCAATGAGAGTCTACTTCCCGGGTACTTCTCTTTCGAGATTTGTTCATACCCTCAGCTTGATGGTACAACTCATCGACATGATTGCCGGAGCAACTTATCGTTTGTTAGCATGACTTTCCAGGTATAACATTGTAGTCATCAGACAAAAGCATTTCCTTTTGGGGTTTTAAGGTCTTGTTAGCATCTTCAAGAGTCACACGTTTGGAACCAAGCTTTCGTGAGTGCGAGACCTTAACAGGCTCTTGGTCTTGGATATGCACACCCAGGCGGGTGGAAACTGGAGTTCTCCCAATATGGGATGGCTCTGAATTGTCACGAGGGCGTGTACGACCCCCGACTTGACGAGATGCTTGGGGTTCATTCACCGGACCCAATCGTTATTTAATCTGAGCTTTACCTCGATCCTCATGCAAAGGGCTAAGGTGATTTGCCATCATTATTTTGAATCGGGAGGGATCCACACCGTCATGAGGCTCCATTAGAGGTGCATGATTCATTAGGACATGAACAGGGGTTATCGGAGACACGAAAATAGCCGCGGGAGGCGAACAGGGGGCAAG